CTGATACCTGTCTGTGGCCTGGGGGTTGGGGAACCCTGGTAAAGATGGCTCCTGAAGCCACGTAAGTGAGACCCTTCATTCGGGTATAGTTTGTAAAAGCCAAAACCTTGGATTTCAGAGGAATACACACATCCACAACTGATAAAGATGACTGTAAACAACAGTTAAACAAGAAAGAAGAGAGTCAAAAGTAAGTGGTGGTAGCAAAGTTAGGGGAGGTGAGAATGCGAGGAGGATGAAATGGTCAACAACAAATGCAATAAGCACGAGCAGGCAAATACTGAAAAAACAGCATCAAATTTGGCAATTAGGATTCCAGTGATCACTTTATCAAGAGCCAGCTGATGATAATATACCCCTACTGTAATAACAGTAACAATTCTATCACCTCACACCTGTTAGAATGGCCATTATCAAAAAGATGAAAGATAGCAAGTGCTAGAGAGGATGTGGTGGAAAGGGAACTCTTACACACTGTGGGTAGAAATCTAAATCCTCAAAAAATTAAAAACAGATGATATGATCTAACAACTCTACTACTGGGTATATATCCAAAGGAAATGAAATCAGTATGTTGAAACGATATTTGCACTCCCATGTTCACTGCATTATTCACAATAGCCAACACATGCAACCAACCTAAATGTCAATCAGTGGATGAATGAATAAAGAAAAAGTGGTGCACATACACACAATGGAATATTATTTAGTCTTAAAAAGGAAGGAAATTCTGTCATTCACAACAACATGAATGAGCGTGGAGAACATTAAGTGAAATAAGCTAGGCTCAGAAAGACAAACACTGCGTGATCTCACATGTGGGATACAAAAAGCTGAACTCAAAAGTACAGAGTAGAATGGTGGTTACCAGGGGCTAGATGCAGGGATAGGGATAAAGGATTGGAAGATGTTAAAAAAAAAAATTCCATGAATTTTCTATTTTTCAAAAATAATGTAACGCATATCATATTTCATTTTAAACAAAAATCCTGCATGCCAGGTTCTTCATTTTAATAACTATTTCAGAATCAACAAAAAGAGTTATTTAAATCTTACTATTCTGTGACTAAGATGTATAGAAATGTGGTAAATTCTTAGGATTTTCTTGATGTTAGAAAAGTACAGACTAATGCTAAAATCACATATGATAGCATGATTGAAACAAACTGATTACAAATATATTATGCAGTTAGTTCATATTTGAGGTTTTCCTGAATATGTGCACTTTATGGGGATTACTACCAGCAGAACATAAAGGATACCTTTTTATAAACATACAAATCATACTGTGTTGTGGTTACCTTTGATCCAGATTAAAAGATGAGGCTATAATATAATATGTAAGTTTGGAAATCAACTACATTTTAAATTGAAATTTAAGGACAAAAGGAAATTTCAGGTGGGAAGAAAATTCTAGATGTTGCAGCAAAGACTATTGTGACTTGGAGTACAATATAATTAAAAACTTTGAAAGACAGACTTTAAACATAATATTTCATCCACAGGGAAAACTTAACACTTTTATCATATTATACAAGAAGAAGTAAGGCATAAGAAGTGACAAAACACATTTACTTTTATTAAAAAAATTTATTTTAGAGACAGGGTCTCACTCTGTCACTCAGACTGGAGTGCAGTGGTTTGATCACAGCTCACTGTAATGTGGAACTCCTACTTCTGGCCTCAAGGGATCGTTCCACCTTAGCCTTCCAAGTAGCAAGGGCTATAGGAGTGTACTATCATGCCCCCAGCTAATTTTTTAAAATTGTTTTGTAGAGACAGGGTCTTACTCTATTGCCCAGGCTGGTCTTGAACTCCTGACCTCCAGCAATCCCCTGACCTTGGCCTCTCAAAGCACTGGGATTACAGGTGTGAGCTACTGTGCCCTGTAAAAACATATTTATTTTTAAAGCTTTGAATTTTCTTTTGAAGATAGTTTTATAATATCAAAATATGATGAATTTTCACTAAAAAATGGACCTGGAGCACAGTCAACAACACCAAAAAAAAAAAAAAAAAACAAAACCCAGGTAAGTTGATTCAGCACAATTAAAAACTTTTGTGATAAAAACACTATCAACAGAGAAAAGGCAACAAACGTAATGGGAGAAAATATTTGCAAACCATATATCTGATAAGAAAGGGATATTGAGAATATATAAATAATTCTTATAACTCAACAACAAAAACAACAAACAACCTGGTTCAATTAAGCAAAGGACCTGAATAGCCATTTATCCAAAGAAGATACATAAATGTGAAATAAGCACATGAAAGTATGCCCAACACAGCAAATCATCAGGGAAATGCAAATCAAAACCACAATGAGATACCACTTCACACCCATTAGGATGGTAATTATAAAAACAACAACAGAAAATTAACAAGTGTTGGTGAGAATGTGGAAAACAATGAAATCCTCATGCATTGCTGGTAGAAATGTAAAATGGTATAGATTCTGTGGAAAATGGTGTGGCAATTTCTTAAAAAATTAAACAATTACTATATGATCCAGCAATTCCACTTCTATGTACTCAAAAGAAGTAAAAGCAGGGACCTGAACAGAAATTTGTACACCTGTGTTCATAGCAGCATTATTCACAATAGCTGAAACATGGAAGCACCCTAAATGTCATCAATGAATGAATAGACAAAAAACGTGTATATACATACAATGGAATATTATTCAGCTTTAAAAATGAAGAAAATTTGTACATACACTATAACATGGATGAACATTGAGAACATTAAGTGAAATAAGCCAGTCACAAAAGGACAAATACAGTCACACACCTCTTAACAATGGGGATGTGTTCTGAGAAATGCATCGTTAGGCAATTTCATCATGCAAACACCATGGAGTGCACTTACACAAACCTACATGGTATAGCTTCCTGCATACCTAGGCTACATGGAATAGCCTATTGCTCCTAGGCTACAAACCTGCACAGCATGTTACTGCACTGGGCACTGGAGGCAACTATAACACAATGGTCAGTATTTGCGTATCTAAACACAGAAAAGGCACAGGAAAAGTATGTTATAAAAGATAAAAAATGGTACACACGTATAGAGCACTTACCAAGAATGAAGTTTGCAGGACTGGAAGTTGCTTTAGGTGAGTTAGTAAGTAAGTGGTGAGTGAATGTGAAGGCCTAGGACATGACACTACTGTAAACTTTATAAACATTGTATAGTTAGGCTACACTAAATTATAAAAAATGGTTTTTCTTTCAATAATAAATTAACTATCACTTACTGTAACTTTATAAATTCAGTTTTTTAAACTTTTTGACTCTCATAACATTTAGCTTAGCAAACATATTGTATAGGTGTATAAAATATTTTCTTTTTTATATATTTATTCTGTAAGCTTTTTTCTATTTTTAATTTTTATTTTTAGTAAATATATTTTTTGAAACAGGGTCTTACTCTGTGGCCCAGGCTGGAGCGCAGTGGTGTGATCATGGCTTACTACAGCCTTGACCTCCCAGGCTCGGGCAACCCACCCACCTCAGCCTCCTGAGTAGCTAGGACTGGGACTATAGTGCACCACCAGGTCCAACTAATTTTATTTTGTATTTTTTGTAGAGACAGAGTCTCACTTTGTTGGCCAGGTTGGTTTCAAACTCTTGGGCTCAAGTGATCTGCCCGCCTCAGTCTCCCAAAGTGCTGGGATTACAGGCATAAGCCTGATGAACAAAAAATTTTTTTAAGTTAAAAAAAAATTAAGGCTGGGCGCGGTGGCTCATGCTTGTAATCCAAGCACTGTGGGAGGCAGAGGTGGGCGGATCACTTAAGCCCAGGAGTTCGAAACCAGCCTGGCCAACAAAGTGAGACCTCATTGCTACTAAATAAATAAAAAAATAAGCTGGGCGTGGTCATGTGTGCCTGTAGTCCCAGGTACTGGGGAAGCTGATGAGGACTGCTTGAACCAGGAGTTGGAGTCTGCAGTGAGCTATGACTGTGCCACTAAACTCCACCCTGGGCAACAGAGTGAGATCCTGTCTCAAAAAAAACAAAAACTAAAAAAAAAAAGAAAAAAAATTAAAACATTTGTGTTAAAAACTAAGATACAAACACACATATTAGCTTAGGCCTACACAAGGTCAGCACCACCAATATCACTATCTTCAACCTCCACATCTTGTCCCACTGGAAGGTCTTCAGGGACAGTAACACGCATGAAGCTGTCATCTCCTATGAAAACAATGCCTTCTGGAAAACCTCCTGAAGGATCTGAGACTGTCTTAGAGTTAACTGTTTTTTTGTGTAAGTAGAAGTAGACTGTAAAATAGCAATAATAGTATAGCAAAACAACAAATAGTATAGTAAACATACGAACCAGTAACATAGTCATTTATTATCAAGTATTATGTGCTATACATAACTGTATGTACTATACTTTTATAAGAGTGGCAGTGCAGTGGGTTTGTTTATACCAGCCTCATCACAAACACACGAGTAATGTGTTGCACTATAACATAATGATGACTATCGTCACTAGAAAACAGGAATTTTTCAGCTTCATTATCATCCTGTGGGACCATCATCATATATGTTGTCTCACTGAAATGTCCTTATGCAGCACATGACTGTATTGTATGATTCCACTTACATGAGGTAACCAGAGTGGTCAAATTCATAGAGACAAAGTAGAATGGTGGTTTCCAGTTGCTGGTGGTTGCCAGTTGCTGGGGGAATGGGAAGTTAGTATTTAATGGGCAAAGAGGTTCAGTTAGGGAGGATGAAAAAGTTCTGGAAATGGATGGTGGTGATGGCTGCACAACAATGTCAAGTACACTTAATGCCACAGAACTGTATACTTTAAAATAGTAAGTGTTATGTCTATTTTACCACCATAAAAAAAATAAAGTTGGAAATGAATGATTATTGAAAAAAGAATCACAGTCATGAGCATAAAGACTAAGTTACTGTTCAGACAAAGAGGATAGAAGAAACCATATTTTTACATGTACTTTATTATTTTCATATGATACCTGGATTTCAAGCTCAGCAATGTGTTGTCGTAGTTCAGCCACAGCAGCTATGCTATCTGCTTCCCGGAGCCTCACAGCCATCACTTCTTCCTTATTCTAGTGTGGTAAACCAAACCAAAACAAAATAAACCAGGTGTGTTTGGAATTCAGATTTTAGAAAAGTAATAGGAGGCATAAACCATACATTAGTATTATCTAGCAGGGTCTAAGGCAGCATCCATAGTGAAACAATATGCTCAATGCATACAATGAAGCAGTGAGACACAAATGTTCACATCAAGTGGAATAAATAACAATTATAAATGGCCATATATCAATTCAAATTTTAAGTTTCGCCTACAAAGGAATTTGTGTGAAATTTATGAAAAAACTCTAGGGTTTTAGAGTGTTCTGCATTTTGAAACTGGAGTTCATAGGCTTGTAATATCTCAACTTTAAGGGAGAACATTCAAATTAAGTTGAGAGGGAAAATAACATTAATATTATAAAAAATATCCACACATTTTACACAAAAAATAAAAAAGCTTTAATAATTATAAGTTAATCATAAGCTATAATCTTATAATACTAAACAAAAATGAATCAGATTTATATAATTCAAGGACTGGCATTCTTGAAAAATTAACTTTGTTCCTGAATCATTCCAACATAACAGGGTAAAATATACACATTTAATCAGAATGTACTAGGTGCTAGGGTAACAATACATTGGTCATTCTCAAAATCTGCAAAGGCATTATGAAAGATTGAATAAATTAACACACAGCTTAAACACGGGGGAGATATCAGAGTCTGCATCTGTAACATACTTCACAGAGGTATTAATGAACAATTAAAAATTAAATAAAATCCCATATTAGTTCATAAAATCCTCTAATATTCTAAATCTGAGCCCATTACTTAGACAAGTTCAAAGAAAATTATTATTTTCAACAGTAAGTTCCTTAAAGATTTATTTCCAAAGAACACTTTACTTTTCTCAACAGGTACTAGGGCATTTGAGGAGCAATATTAAATCTAGTAACACCGTTATCAAAATATGTTTACGGAAAACTAACATCAATAATAAATAAAAGATTAAATTTAGTTATCGACAAGATGTCAACACAGACAATTTAGCATCATAAAAACTCAATCAGATATTGGTATGACAAATCAGATTGATACAACCTCATTTAATATTATTTTATTTATAAATTAGTTTAGTCATATCCTTCAAAAGTGACTGTGCTTTAGTATGAATTTCAGTACTGCCTACAGATTTCTGTCAGTATACATTGTAACAGCCATGCATATTTATAAGGATGTAATTTCATCTCTGGATTTCAGTGACACTGATAAACCATTCAAGCTTCACTCTTGGTTTTTAATGACACCAGAATAAGTTGATGGAATTACAGCTTTATATGTGCCATCAAAAGTCTTATTTCTTATACAATAATAAGGCTGGAATCTTTAAAGGGTATCATTCCTGCTATCTCACCATGGAAAGGTAGATGCCTAGTTTATTTTTTTAAAATCCCATAACTTGCCTTTAGTAATCCATTCTAATGCCGAGTCTACAGTCATTTCTTTAGTTATTTCACTCACACACACACACACACACACACACACACACACACAGAGCAAACCTTCCCTCCTCTCCTTCTATCTCCGTGCCTTTCCCCACTCTCTCACCACCGCTATACTGTAAATTTATTTCAGGAAAGAATGTACTTGCATTCAAATCCTTTTGATGCTTTTTGAATCCAAACACCTCACAAAAAAGTAAAAGTATATAACTGATTAAAATAATAATGGGTAATATACCCATTTTTGCCAACACACAGGTACATACACATTTCTCTTGCTCTCTAATCTATCCAGAAAACATGTATCAATGTTAACTGCCCACTAATAAGATAACAATCAAAGCAGAGGAGCCCTAAGCTCTCTAAATGACTCACCTTTTTTGATCAAGCCATTAAAAGCTCCGGTTTTAAAGGGTTACCAGTCAAAAGAAAAACTGTAAAGAGATACTAGTAAATGCCAATCCAGGAAATTAAATTAACCAAGGAAGTGACTGAAAATGTTTCTTGACTGAAATCCACCCCAGAAGCAAGATGAGCTAACCTGGTCTGACAGCAACTACCAAAACAAGTTCAGGAAAAGTAGAAAATAGGACACGCTTTTTTGTTTTGTTTTTAAGATAATCTAATCACAATAAGACAAACACAAAAAAGGCATTATTATATTGACAAAAAACAAAATCAGTTAATTGACATATTTACCTTGCATTCAATCTCTGCTTGTTTGCGCTTTGCTTCACTTAACTGAGTATGGAGTCCTTTGTTCTGTGCAGAAAGATACTGCACTTTCTCCTGTAGGCTAACCACCTCTTGTTCTGCTCTTCGAAGATGGTTACTATTGATCTGGTTCTAATAATCAGAAATATAAATACTCAGACTATAGTTACAAGACCTAAAAATTTAAAAAAATTACCTATCCATTTTATACCACAACACTATTAAAAATGTTACTAGTTATTAGGTCAGTGTTATTCAACAAATCAACTTTAAAAAATACGATAAAACTGCCTTTAAAATCAAGTCATCCAAAGGAATGCATACTGTCAATATTAGAAATTCTCATTATAGCTCAATATACCATTTATACAAAAAATAGCTGTAAACTATAAAAATGCTTATATACAACTTGAAGGCATTCCTTTCTAAGATTGGCAATGGGAGTACAAAGTGGATAGATAGAGGAATGGTAAGTTTAATTTCTCTTTCCAGTTCTGGAAAGAAAGCACAACCAGTCAAAAGGTACCATCATGCCTAGCGCAGTGGCTCATGCTTCTAATCCCAGCATTCAAGACCAAGGTGGGCAAATCACCTGTGGCCAGGAGTTTGGGACCAGCCTGGCCAAAATGGTGAAACCTGTCTCTACTGAAAATACAAAAATTAGTCGGGCGTGGTGGTACATGTCTGTAATCCCAGTTACTTGGGAGGCTGAGGCACAAGAATCACTTGAACCCAGGAAGTGGAGGTTGCAGTGAGCTGAGATCACGCAGCTGCACTCCAGCCTGGGTAACAACAAGACTCTGTCTCAAAAAGAAAAAAAAAAAGGAAAGGAAAAAAAAAAGGTACCATCACTATTTATTGGGCTATAAACCTGATGTCACACAATATGGCCTATGTGTATTTCTACATGCTCTCAATGTCTAGCACAGTCTCTTTTGATGAAGCACAGATTTTGAATTCTGGTTTTAATATTTGGTCATTAAGCAAACAAGCTAATATCTCTGAGTCTCTATTTCCTTATTTGAAAAATGCACATAAAATACTTTCTATTCCTCATTTTGGTGTCTTCAGAATTAAATGAGATAATACGTGTAACAGGGCCTAATATGTAGCAATAAATCCTAGCTGTTTATTGTATTATAATTACAGAATGTGCTTAAAAAAACATATAGACCTTGAACTAACATGAGATAGTTTTCACACTCAGGTATAACCCAGCCTGAATTCTCTCAATCCTAAATTACTCTATCAGAGGCCTGAAAGAAACAGTAGGGACTTTCATAGCAGAAAGAAGTAAAAATCTAACTTCTCCTTTAACAGTTCTTAAACCTTGGCCAAGTTATTTAATCCTACCAAATTTCAGTAGAGATAGTATTACTTGCCTTTTGAGGCTACGTTGTGAAGATTAGATTATGAGAGGAAAGTTTATGAAAGCAGTCTCATACAATCATGTCATGTCATGTCATGTCATTTCATTTCATTTTTTTGAGACAGAGTCTCACTTTGCTGCCCAGGCAAGAGTGCAGTGGCATGACCTTTGCTCACTGCAACCTCCACCTCCTGGGTTCAAGTGATTCTCCTGCCTCAGCCTCCCAAGTAGCTGGGATTACAGGCATCCACCACTATGCCCGGCTAATTTTTGTATTTTAGCAGAGACAGGATTTCACCATGTTGACCAGGCAGATCTTGAACTCCTAACCTCAAGTAATCCACCTGCCTCAGCCTCCCAAAGTGCTGGGAGATTACAGGTGTGAGCCACTGCACCCAGGAAATTTTAGATACTTAATAAATGTTCAGTTGTTGACATTATTATACCTACTTTACCTCACCCTATGAAAAAGACCCTGCCTCTAGTTTTAATGAAAAAATGTAGGTCATCTAACAGATGTAAACTCCAAAATGTTCAACCACTCACAACTTTCTTTATCTTTACTTTTACTTATCTTCCTGTAACACATACTGTAGTCTTTCTCATTCTTTTTTTTTTTTTTTTTTTTTAAGATATCATCTCACAGGAGCTTGCTGTGTTGCCCAGGCTAGAGAACAGAGGCACAATCATAGCTCACTTGTAGCTTCAATCTTCCAGGCTCAAGCTATCCTCCCACCTCGGCCTCCTGAATAGCTGGGACCACAGGCATGTGCTGCCACACCCAGATAATTTTTTTAATTTTTAGTAGAGATGAGGTCTTGCTATGTTGCTCAGGCCAGCCTTGAACTCCTGAACTCAAGTGATCCTCCCATCTTGGTCTCCCAAAATCCTGCAATCACAGGCAGGAGTCACTGCACCTGGCCTCTTTCTCATTTTGAATCAACAAATAAGTCTGTCTACAAAATTAAGTAAACTTCTTAGCACTGTATTCAAAATGTATCACAGCCTCTTTTTACTGTCTTACCTGCTACCATCAAAACAAATAACTACACTTCAGAAGGACACATCTTTGACGTAAGCTGCAAATAATTTCCACAGATAAAACCCCTCCCTGCATCCCTGAACACAAGACCATAATTCCACATTATGGTTGATAAATAATACACATGAAACCCAATTATTGACCATGAGTGAGAGACAGCAGAAAAAAATATATTTTAAGAACTCTAAAGATAAAAAATTATAGGACTTTATATAACATAGGTTATGTTTAAAATTACAATATTAATGACATAAAAGGAAGATGCCAAAACATAAGCAAAGAACAAGTCACTATCAAAAAAAAATTAAGCAAATCAGAAAACTAACCAAAGAAAATTTCTATAAATACAGCCACTGAATTCAATGAATGGGTTAGACTGGAGATTAGCTGTACTGAAGAAATAATTAGTGTCCCAGAAGAGGTCATTAGACACAGAAAAGAGAATAAGGTCCAAAATAGGTCCAAACCTAACAGGGGTTGCAGGATAAATAGTAAAAAAAAAGTGAGATACGATGGTTTAAGAGATGGTAATAGCTGAGAATTTTTTACAATTTAAGAAACAAAAGATATAAATCTACACTTTAGGAAACACGATTAGTTCCAACCAGGATAAAAACAAATAAATCCCTACCAAGATACACTGTAACAAAACTTAGAATGCTAAAGAGGCAAATCAAGGGAAAAACTGAGACCTATAAAGGAAGGGTAATGAAATGTCTAGCAGATATTTCAACAGCAAAAATTCATAATGCTTAAAAAAGAAATTTCACCCTATAGTAGTATACTGAGCTAAACTATCACACAAGAAAAAAGTAAATTTACTTTAAGAAAGTGGGCCGGGCGCAGTGGCTCACACCTGTAATCCCAGCACTTTGGGAGGCTGAGGCAGGCAGATCACAAGGTCAGGAGATCGAAACCATCCTGGCTAACACGGTGAAACTGTGTCTCTA